AAATGTGTCTACAGATGAAAAGCGAGTCATCATAGGGTTTCCTTATTTGTATCCCTTCTCTTAGTAGTCAGAAATCATGTACTGCCTGTGGTACAATGCCTGAAAAGAATTGTTCCATATGTTTTGTCCAGTTTTCTAGATTACTATAGATGTAAAAATCTGTACCATTTACTTTATGATCTGAGACAGAAAACCGCCCAACCAAAGGCCAGGACCTCTAACCAATATGTATCAATACCTGTGTACTCCCAGGACAGCTGTAACTTCCTGCTCAGTATATTGTGGGTTTTTTTTTTTTAATATGTTTCATGGTGGTTTTGTCCAGATAGCCTTTTCTACTTATACAATAGCTGTTTGTCTTTATCCCTTTTTTTTCATTTAGTATGGTTAAAATATGATTATTTAATATTTGATACATTGCAGTGGGATTTGTAGGTTTTGAAAATAAACTTAAAAGGTAGTTTGAATAAGTGTAACCTTTAAAATTATTATAATCAAAACCATTTTTTAGTTTTGGTGTTTTTTCTGTAAACTAATATTTATTTCAGTCAACTCAGTTACATTTGGGAACCATCACCCTATAATGTTGAAAAGAACTTGTGAGGTTTCTTATAGTTAGCATAGTTTAAACTAAAATGTCAAGGTACCGGCTAAATGGACTCTTGAGAATGAACAAAGGACAAGAATCTGAGTTATTTGTGTCCATTTTGCTGGGAACCACCACATCGGATTTAAGGCTGAGTAATCATGACTTATTAGTGTGGTTATGGAAAGTATATATCAGTTAGGTTGTGTGAATGAACTGTCCTTTCTTTTGGGAAAAAATTCTCATCAGAGTGCTGAAATTTTCCCTTTTTAGAATTACTTAAAATTGAAACTATGAATAAGTGTTATCTTGTTGGATAGTGTCTTTGATCTGTTGAGGTACATATTATATCTATATTTCGAGAATAGAAATGTAGTTTTTTCTTTCCTGTGTATCCCAGAAATCTTAGTTTAGCATCCAGAACCATTTAATTTTTGTTCACTGAGAGTTCATTTCTAGAGTTGAGGTGTAAACTGTTCCTACATCTTACAGAGGACAATTGTGTGGGGATATCGTGGACAAACCCTTGAATTTCTTCTGTTTTACTTACTGGTATCACATTTTTCTTTTGTGTTTTCAAACATTTCAGGTGGAAACTACATTGTTTTTTTTTTTAATTGCATCTGATACTTAGCTATGTGTGCAGTAAGAAATTTTTCACCTAATTCAATTATTCTGAATTCCACAAACTTTAAACTTTTTTTTTTTTAAGAATCACAAAGTAAGGGTGCCTGGGTGACTCAGCTGGTTAAGCGACTGCCTTCGACTCAGGTCACAATCCCAGAGTCCTGGGATCGAGTCCCACATCGGGCTCCCGGCTCAGCGGGGAACCTGCTTCTCCCTCTGACCCTCTCCCCTCTCATGCTGTTTCTCTCTCTCTCTCTCTCTCTCTCTCTCTCTCTAATAAATAAAATCTTTAAAAAAAAAAAAATCACAAAGTAATAATTTTCCCCCAACTGTGAAATCTCTTACGCGTATAGTATTCAAAGAAGAAGTTGTGAATTTCATGGTTAATCATAATTTTTAAGGAAAATGTGACTGATCAAAAGTATTTATGTAATTACTTTTTAAATGTAAATATTGCTGTTTATGGATTTCTGTGAATTAATTCTGTGTATTTGAGAGAGAGAGAGATCATGAGGGTGGGGGGAAGGTAGAGGGAGAAGCAGACTCCCCACTGAGCAAGGAGCCCAATGTGGGACTCAATCCCAGGACCCTAGGATTATGACCTGAGCCGAAGGCAGACGCTTAACTGACTGAGCCACCCAGGCGCCCAAAAAACTAATAATTAATTGATTCAGTGCTAAGTGTAGAACTTCATTTTTTAGATTTTATTTGAACACAATGTCAATTGCATATAGTGAGAAATGTAGCTTAGATTTATGAATATATTTTTCCTATTAACATGCAACAAAAAGTTTTGTTTTAAATCACCTTTTATCTTTTATTTTAAGATTTTATTTATTTATTTGAGAGAGAGAGAGACGGTGATAGCAACAGAGAGGGAGCACAAGCAGGGGGAGGGGCAGAGGAAGAGGGACAAGCAGACTCCCTACTGAGCAGGGAGCCCAACTTGGGGCTCGATCCCAGGACCCTGGGATCATGACCTGAGTGGAAGTCAGGTGCTTAACCGACTGAGCCACCCAGGCGCCCCCATAACCTTTTATGTTGATAACAATAGGTCTTTAATGTTTTATTTTCATTGTTGCATCTTGTGCACATCTGTCTTTGAACCACAATTCTTTTTTTTTTTTTTAGATTTTATTTATTTATTAGAGAGAGAGGGAGAGAGCACACACACGCAAACATATGAGCAGGGCGGGGAGGGGGCAGAGGGAGAGGGAGAGAAAATCTTAAGCAGACTCTGCACTGAGTGTGGAGCCTGACACTGGGCTGGATCTCACGACCCTGAGATCATGACCTGAGCCAAAGTCAGATGCTTAACCAACTGAGCCACCCAGGTGCCCCTGAATCACAAATTCTTTTACCTTATGATTTAAAAAGGCTCTCTTATATACAGAGACCACTTACTCTATATGTATGTGTATAGAGAGAGCGAGAGAGAATAAAATTATTTGTACCTTTTACATTTATAACATTATATTATATTACTTACATAACTTAAAATTTATTTATTATCCTACAAAATTTTATTCTACAAATATAGTATTTTTCTTCATAATAACTAATGGCTAGTACATTTTGAGGGCTTATTATAAGCTGAGTACTTTATATGAGTTGACTGATTTAAACCTTATAGTATCCCCAGAATGTAGGTTCTGAAGGTATTTGATTATTTCCATTTTATAGATTAGGAAAGCAAGACTCAGAAAGTAAGTGACAGAGGCCAGAACCTGAACCAGAACATCTGGCTCTAGAAGTTATGCTATGGCCACTATGTCCTCGGTATGCTTTACCCTTGTGTGTTAGAGCAACATGTTAAGGATGTCCAGGGTTTAGCTCTGACACCTCATGAGAACTTTGGAAATTATTGTTAGATTTTATTGACATATTTGATTATATTTGGAGTTTTTAAATTTTGGAGCTGGATAAAACTAAGAGTCTAATTCTTTTGCCTTGCAGAAGAGTAAACTGAGGCCCAGAAAGGTTAAGTGACTTTGTCTAAGTTTAATTTCTGACCCTTAATTTACTATTCTCCCAATGGTTCCCAAACCTACCCTATTAGAATCTAACCTATTCGAAATTCTAAAGGAGCTTGTTTAAAACGTACAGGTTCCCATCCCCACCTATTGAATAAATCTATGCATAGGGGACCCATACTTATATATTTTTAAAGATTTCATTTATTTGAGAGAGAGAGCATGAGCTGGAAGAGGGGCAGAGGGAGAAGCAGACTCCCTGCTCAGGGAGCCCGATGTGGGGCTCAATCCCAGCACCCCAGGATCATGACCTGAGCCGAAGGCAGACACTTAACCAACTGAGCCGTCCAGGTGCCTCAGGAATTTATATTTTTAGTAAACTCCCTACTTGGTTCATATGCATTCCCCTCACCTTGGCATACATGTGCACTTGGGAACCATTGTGTTTAAGCCTTTATCACACATTTAATATTAATCCATTTTAACCAGTGTGATTATTATTAATTTTTGTAATATTTTAAAATAAAGGTACACAGCAACACAAAAGCTTCCATAGAAAAAATTGCTTTAAAAGAAAAACTCGGGGCACCTGGGTGACTCAGTCAGTTAAGTGTCTGCCTTCGGCTCAGGTCATGATCCCAGGGTCCTAGGATTGAGTCCTGCGTCAGGCTCCCTGCTCAGCAGGAAGCCTGCTTCTCCCTCTACCACTCCCCACTGCTTATGATCTCTCTTTCTCTCTCACGCTCTCTGAACAAATAAATAAAATCTTTAAGAAAAGAAAAAAACTCACTGATACTGGTTCCACACTTTTGTTTTAGGATCTGTTATCTTTGGGGAAGGTAAGTTAGGTAGTTATTTCACCAACTGTTTTTAAGTAAGGACAAAAAGTGGTATTCTCAAATTATGCCTAAAAGAATAGGGCACAGGAAGTTTCTGTCACAGGGCATAACATTCTTACAATTGGGAATATAGGTAAAATCAGAATAAAGCCAGAAATCATATGGTTTCTAGAGGCTGGTGTTGGGGGAGGAGATTGATTACAAAAAGACATGAGGGAACTTTTTGTAGTAATGGAAATATTCTATATCTTGATTGGTTGTGGTTATATGGTTGAATATATTTGTCAAAATTCATTGAACTACAGACATAAAAATAGTGACTCTTACTATATATAAATTATACCTCAATAAATCTGAATTTTTTTAAAAAAAGCAAGCCAGGAAGCAATTCTGAGAAGTATTTTTTTTCAAATTACTAACTGTAACTTGAAATATTTAGTTAGATTCGTGTTATTTTTTAATATATTTTTTAAAGATTTTATTTATTTATTTGACAGACAGACACAGAGAAGGAACACAAGCAGGAGAGAGGGAGAGGGAGAAGCAGACTCCCCACCGAGCAGGGAGCCTGATGCAGGGCTCGATCCCAGGACGCCAGGATCATGACCCGAGCTGAAGGCAGACGCCCAACGACTGAGCCACCCAGGCGACCCAGATTCTTGTTCTTTAAAAGCTAAGATTTTTCAGGGTACTTGGGTGTCTCAGTCGGTTAAACATCTGATTCTTGATTTCAGCTTAGTTCATGATCTCACAGAGTGAGATTGAGCCTCGTGTTGGGCTGCACGCTGGGTGTGGAGCCTGCTTAAGATTCTGTCCCTCTCCCTTTGCCGCCCCCCCCAATAAAAATAAATAAATAAAAGCTAAGATTTTTCTATTTACATATAGTAATTAAGATACTGTTAAAATGACATGTGTATTGATAATTCCTTTTGCTTTAATATTTCTCATCAGAGGTTTCTCATATTTGTTTTATAGGGTCCACATATAGCTTCAGTTACATTAGCTGCTTATGAATGCAATTCAGTTAATTTCCCCGAACCACCCTATCCTGATCAGATTATTTGTCCAGATGAAGAGGGCACTGAAGGAACCATTTCTTTGTGGAGCATCATCTCAAAAGTTAGGATTGAGGCCTGCATGTGGGTAAGATATCCATTTTCATCTTTGTCTAAAATTAACCTCACTATCTTGATACTTTGTTGTACCTCATTGAAATGGAGTCCAAATATATATCTACCTAGCAAGTCAATAGATAATTCATGAAGTCACCAGTTATCCACTTACAAGTAAGAGAAACCCTTTAGAGTTTCCCCTATTCATGAATGACGTTCAGAAGGAAGGCATGAAGCCAGGGGTATCACAAAGCAGTGGATGCCAAGTAGACAACAGGAGGGAAAAGGAGTACGGATAATGCAACTGTACTACTTTGCAAAATTTTACCAATGTTTATAAATTTGATAAACACATAGCAAGTGGTTATATATCAGACCCAGACTGGTAAATGTTATGTCTCTCTCCTATATTCAAGATACTCTGTTTGTACTTAGAGGGCTTATTTCATTTTCTGAGTTGTTAATAATATTGAAGTAAGGTCAGACATTTTTTAATAAACCAAACTTTACTGTAGTGGAGGTATCAGACTATATGGTTGTCTATGGTGATCTTACTTTCAGTTGTACCAATTATTCTTTTATGGTTTGCTTAAGTATATTTTGGGAAGCTTTTGGACTGTATGTTCAGTGGCAGATTATTTTAATCTATACAAAGCATTCTTTTTTTTTCATTGTGCCAAATTCATTCAAGTGTGTATCATTAAGGAATAGTTCCTTTGCTAAAGACTTCTATTATCATTTGAATATTTTTTGTCATTTGGACTCATTAACTTGTATGTTCCCTGTAACTTTTTTCCCCTAACAGTGTCTTATAAAATAAAACATATGGACAGATCACTTAAAAATCTCAACTAAAATGAGCATGAATACCATATCCACAGAAGAGGCAGAGTTTTCAAATACATTTGTTTAAATGTTAGCAAGGATGTTGGGTGTGTTTTTTTTTTTCAAACTATCTTTGTTTTTAGTATAAGTTATTTGTTACAGTATATATACTATAAACTAGTGTGTTGTATTTTAAAAGAATTATAAGGGAAATGCCATATATTGAATTTGTTGAATATGAAAGACAGGAATAATTGTCATATTTCCTGTTACTCTTTTATAAATACTGGAAACAGATTCATTGTATTAGTTGCATATGTCTTATAAATTTGACCTTAGTCTTTTGATGACAAATAATTTTTTCTTTAAGATTTTATTTATTTATTTGAGAGAGAGAATCAGATAGAGAGAGCATGAGAGGGGGGAGGATCAGAGGGAGAAGCAGACTCCCTGCTGAGCAGGGAGCCCAATGCGGGACTCGATCCCGGGACTCCAGGATCATGACCTGAGCCGAAGGCAGTTGCTTAACCAACTGAGCCACCCAGGCGCCCTGATGACAAATATTAAAATAACAGAAAATACTGGGAACATGCTAGAAAGAGACCATGTATATAGATTTTGGTTTTCAGTTTTGCTTTTGTTCTTTGATAAATGATTTACATGGCTGGATTAACACTAATGCCAACAAAGAAAAACTTCCATTGCAGCTGGCAGTGATAATTGGCTCCTCCAACTCCTATAGTTCATATTGTCTGAAGGGCTCATTTGGCTTGGCTCCATGCATGCCTTAAATTAGTTAACTTGGCTGGTGTAGTGGCTTACTTTCCCAAATAAATTTTAAGCTCCTAAAAAATATAGACTGTACCTTAAATTTATTACCCTCACAGCAATCACCATTAGGCTTTGCACATAGTATAAGAGTGTCGATAAGTACTGATTAATTGGCTGAGTGCTCCTCATATTTCCTTTTTTGAAATTATTTGTCATGTATAAAGTATAGCACATATCAAGTTATGTTTAAATTGGTTCCTTTTGTTCTCAACATTTATATGGATAGTCCTTCCAACAAAAGGTGCTGGGAAAACAATATTCACATGCAAAAGAATGAATTTGGATCCTTACCTTATGCCGTATGTAAAAATTAACTCAAAATGCATTGAAGACCTAAACTTAAGAACTAAAATTATAGGGCGCCTGGGTGGCTCAGATGGTTAAGCGTCTGCTTTCGGCTCAGGTCATGATCCCAGCGTCCTGGGATCGAGTCCCACATCGGCCTCCTTGCTCAGCGGGGAGCCTGCTTCTCCCTCTGCTTCCCTCTCTCTCTCTCTGTCTCTCATGAATAAATAAATAAATAATCTTTAAAAAAAAAAGAACTAAAACTATAAAACTCTTAGAGGAAAATATAGAGACAAATCTGCATGATGTTGGATTTGGCAGTGGTTTCTTAAATATGACCCCAAAAGCATAGGCAACAAGAAAAAAATAGATAAATTGAACTTCACTAAAATTAAAATCTCTTATACATCAAAGAACACTAATAAGAGAGTGAAAAGACAACCCACAGAATGGGAAGAAATGTTCATAAATCATATATTTGATAAAGGTTTAATATCCAGAATGTTTGAAGAACTTCTACAACTCGACGACAAAAGACAAACAACCCAATTAAAAAATGGGCAAAGAACTTGAATAGACTTTTCTCCAAGAAGATACACAAATGGCCAGTAAGTGCACAGATTCTCAACATCATTTAGTCTTTGGGGAAGTGCAAATCCAAAACACATGGAAATATCCCTTTACACACACTAGGATGGCTGTTATTTTTTTTTTTTTTAAAGAAAACAACAAGTGTTAGGATGTGGAGAAATTGGAATTATTGTAGATTGTTGGTGAGAATGTAAAGTGATTCAGCTGCTGGGGAAAAGAGTTCTGTGGATTTTCAAAAACTTAAACATAAAATTACCATATGATCCTCCTCTAATTCCACTCCTATGTAAATACCCACAAAGAACTGAAAACTGGGACTCAGGTATAAGTATAGGTACTTGTACTTCAATGTTCAGCAGAATTATTCACATTTTCAGAAAGGTGGAAACAACCCAGTGTCCCTCAGCAGATAAAATATAGGTGACCATCCATTGCCATGGCCGGGTCAGGGGCTGCTTTCCACTGCTTGGGCATCTTGTCCAGAGCCAGGGCCTTAGGCTTGGTCTCCTGCGGGGTGCACGGTGCCGTTTCCGAATGCCTACAGGAAGGAGCTCTTTGACAAGACCAACAAACACCATTTCTTACACAGCCTGGCTCTGTTAGGGGTGCCCCATTGCAGAAAGTCCTCTGGGCCGGTTACTGCTAGCCTCTGGAACCACCATATTCTGCACCAACCTTTACTACCAGACTCTTGAGTGGAGACCCCAGCGTCCAGACGTTAGCCCCTGTAGGAGGGAGCCTGCTAATCTTGGGCTGGCTAGCCTTGGCTCTTTGAGCTTTCTTGCATTTGATTTCTGGGTACTTCTTTAAGAGTTGGAGCAGGGAGGAGATTAAAAGAGAAAGGCCCCTCCCCCCCAAAATGTAGTATGTACATATAATGGAATATTATTCATCCATAAAAAGGAATGAAGTTCTGATTCGTGCCACAATATGGATGAACCTTGAAACATTATGTTAAATGAAATAAGTCATTACATAGAAAGACAGATATTATATGATTCCATTTATGTGAATTGTCTAGAAGAGTCAAATTCATAGAGACAAGAAGTAGATTCGAAGTTACCAGAGTTGTGGGGAATGAGAAGTTAATGCTTAATAGGTGCAGAGTCCATTTGGGTGATGAAAAATATTGGAGATAGATAGTGGTGATGGCTGCACAATATTGTGAATGCAATTAATGCCACTTAGTTTTATATTTTAAAATGGTTAAATGGGATATAGTCATAAAAAGTCCATGCTACTGAGGTTGAGAAACTTAATTTAGAATGTGTTGGCCTTGATTCTTACCATTTACCTTTCACAAATGTGGTCCCATTTGTGTTCATATCCATATGTTTTTTTCAAGAGAATGTCTTGCTTGATTAAAAACTTATTTGAAATTTTTATCTAATTTGTACTTAGCAAACTAAAATGTCTTTACAGACTTCACTATCATTGTAAATGTACTGAATCAGTAAAATCATTAAAATACCAAGTACTTTCAATGATAACATAAAGACCAGGGTTACCCTCAGTTTCAACTTGTTCATATGGGTCTTAGGAGCACGCTAAAATGAATTGTTTGATATTGTTGATCATTAGTTACTTTTTTTCATTTGCACCTTTTGATCTTCCACAGTTTGGCTGTATCACCAGTGCAAGGCTTCAAAATTTTTTTCACTCATGAATTCCAATAACAGTTATGTATCCAAGCGCTGGAGATTCAGAGTGAGCAAAACTGAACAGTCTCTACCCTCATGGAGCTTTACATTCTAGTGAGGGAAATAATTATCATGAAAAAAATGTATAAGTAAATATCATGGAAAAATTATATATATAAATATGAAGGAGAAATCTGTATAACACAAAAATTTTCCCTAATTTGTGATTCAGGGAAGATTTCCATGAAGAAGCAATGTTTCAGTTCCAATCTAAGAATGATAAGGAGTAAAGCGGGAACAGCAGGGCAGGGAAGAGAAGAGCATGTGTGTTGACTTTTAGATAAAGAGCATCACCCTTTAAAGTCATTTACTTGTTAAGTTCCTGGTTAGAGGGTGTTTATTGTAGTAATATATGCATAATGTAAGTTTTACCATCTTAACTTTTTTTTTTAAGATTGATTTATTTTAGAGAGAGAGAGTGGGGGGATAATATCTATTCTACTTTCTGCCTCTTTGAATATGTCTAATCTATATAAATGGAATCATATAACACTTGTTTTTCTGTGTCTGGCTTATTTAACGTAATGCGTTCAAGTTTTGTCCATGTTGTAGCACATGTCAGAACTTCATTCCTTCCCGAAGCCATTTTAAAACTGACCCAAGAGAAACTGGAAGCAAATCTTCTCTTTTATTTGCAAAACAGTCTTGATAATTCTACTAGAATTGTCTAATTGTGTTTTTTTTAAACATTGCTGTAAGAACCCTGAATTTCTCAATGGTTTCAAACTTACCCTCCTAACTTCTGCTCTTTACCTCTGATTTATGTTTGTAATTGGAATATGTAATAGAAAAATGATTTTGTTTTAAAAAAGTATTAATACACAGATAATACAAAACTGCAATTTCTGAGAGTCAGGTTATGTAAAATTTTCTGCTCTCCAGATTTTTACCATTAAACTTATGATTCCCAACATGGAAAAGCAAAATGCTGCTGATTTGCTTTTGAATCCACTTGACAAAACTTTTTAAGAATTCAGGATCTTTCTCCTCCCCCAAATCTTTGAATAAAATTGACACTCCAGGGGTGCCTGGGTGGCTCAGTTGGGTAAACATCTGTCTTAGGCTCAGTCTTGATCCCAGGGTTCTAGGATGGAGCTCCGCATTGGGCTCCCCTGCTCCTGCTCTATCAATCGCTGTCTCTATCACAAATAAATAAATAAAATCTTTAAAAAAAAATTGACATTCCAGGAAGATATTTCCCTCTTGGTTTTGCATATTTTGTGCATGTTAAACTCTTTTCCAATTCAAGAAGCATGAACTTCAGGGTAACCAATTGATATGGAGCACATGGTTTTTAGAAGAGCTTTCTGAATTATTTCTTGACTAAAAACCACTTGTCTCTTTGTTTTGCAATAAGGAAGCCGGTTATTTCTTCCCCTTAATTAAACCTAGGCTGACAGTTTTTAGTGTTCCCCAGTTCTGTTTTGGTTTTTTGTTTTGATTTTGCAAGAATTATAAAATTGTTTTGTAAGAATCATGAGATTATGGGACTGCAGTGTCTAATTTGAGATAAATGACTAAATAAGCTTTTATGTCTAGAATATAATGTGTTTGGGGGGACCTGTCTGGATGACTATATTTCTTTTATTTATTTATAAGCATAAAAAACAGAGTATTGACTCGTGATCACCATTCTTTTTTCTTGATAATGTGGGAAAACATGAGCAGAATTAAACTATAACAATAAATACGTCAACCAAGTATAAGATAGTATGTAGCTCTTGATTTCATTTCAATCCATTATTACTTCCTTTTTAGCTTTAAGGAAACTTGTCATGAGTTTGAATCATATGATTGCTTTCAGAACTATTGAACATTTGAGTTAACAGGTTTTAAGAGAAGTTCATGTTTTGAATAAAATTTTGCAAGTAATTTTTCTTCCCATTTTTTGTAAGGGGAAAAAATTTAAGTATAGAGAATTATATAATTAATTTAATATATTATCACCCAACCTCAGCTAATATTAATTCCTTGCTAATATGATTTATCTATATCCTTTGTCACTTGGCTGTCAATTATCTTGAAGCATATCCTACATAACATATCACATTTCATCTGTAAATATATCAGTCTTAGGACTTAAAAAACATTATCACACCTAAGAGAAATTAGGAATAGTCTCTTCAAATCAGTTACCCCATTAATGTTCAGATTTTTCTGATTGTGTTTATTTCCTTGTTTTTTGTTTCAAATTTATTTGTGGTTAAACTGAGTTGTTTGTCAAATATAGTTTCCCATAGTCTGGATTTTACTAATTGTATCCCAGTTAGCATAGTTCAAATATGTTTCTCTGTTCCCTGTGCTTCTTGTGAGTTGATAGTTAGATTGAGAGGCTTGAAAAAAAACTTTTTTTGACAAGAATATACTTCATAGTCTTGTGTATTTCTATCACAAGGAATAATAATGTCTGATTGTCTTTCTTTTTGTGATATCAACACCATTGTTACACAAGTTCATTATTTTATTAGGGGTTATAAACTGGGGGTGTTCCAGTTACATCATTTTTTTCTTTAGTTATTGATTAGAATATTTTTATAAAAAGAAACCTCCTTTTCACCAATTTGGTTACCCTGAGATATCTTTCATATAGATAAGACAGGATAAGTAATGGATTCTTTCCCTTTTTTTACCTGTTTTTTAAATAATAAATTGGTTCTCTGATATCCTCCAAAGTTGACTAATGTTAACTTTTTTTTGTTTAGCAAAATATGATTTGTGTTTTATTCATAGATCCTTCGATGTATAGTCTCTCTTCCCTCTCATCTCTCTATGTTCTTTAAGTATAGCCTGATTCTTTTGGCACTTAAGTATATTCTTTTTCAGAACTCTTGTTTCACATGTGAATAATGCAGTTTCATTTGGAGATTGTTGATTCCACATTTCGGAATATAACACTGTGAACACAAAATGTTTGAATTTGATAATGTTCCTTGGGGATTCTTTTCAAGGCATTTGCTGACAAAGTCATAGTACAGAGTGAATAGAAAAACCTAAAATTGCTTCTGAGAATTACCAAAGCTTTTTCATTCACTATGACTCAAGGCGAAGGATGGTTCAAAGTTGAGAATTTTCCTAGAGACTGTGTACCTTTTACGTTATTATCTTGTATTTAAGCCTTTTAAGTCCAAACCAAGTCCTGATTCTCTTACCTTTGTTTTCATCCTTTTGTCCTAAGCTGATTGAAAAAAAATTCTCTTCAAAAACAAGAATCCACAAAGTGACTGAAACATGAGTCACTCAATGTCCTGAGGAAATAAACATTTTTCCTGTGGTGAAAATTTATCCATCCTAATGTTGAGTTTTCAAGGGGCTTCCTGACCACGATTTGTTAAAAGTTTTAACTCTGCACAAAATCATGTTGTATTGAGATTAAAGCAACACCCTAAATACCAGAAGATTCCTAGAAAAAAATTTTTTTTAATATTTTATCTAGCAGTTCTACTGGTGAATACTTATTACTGAATCATTTGCAAATTTGAAAAGCGGGGGGAAGCTGGCAAAATAACAGTGTAAGTAGAGATGCTAGAGAACTTAAAACCTGAATTTCATATCTGTAATGCACCAGGTACTGTATAAGAGTTCAGTGTATATTATCTTGCCTGGCATTGCATAGGTCAGTATTGGGACCAGGATTCACACTTGTGTTCTCTTGATTATGCAATATATGCTTTCCTCCCTAACACATGCATCTTAACATGCTTTTGGTGATATAGAAAAATACAGATTTGATCTGTTTAGTGTCACTGTGTTGGGAACAGAATCTCATGTGAGTCTTTGGTTTTGCACATAGGGTATCGGTACAGCAATTGGAGAGCTGCCTCCATATTTCATGGCCAGGGCAGCTCGCCTCTCAGGTGCTGAACCAGATGATGACGAGTATCAGGAATTCGAAGAAATGCTGGAACACGCAGAGACTGCACAAGTAAGAACAGTAGGGAAGAAAAACAAAACAGAATACTTGAATTATCTTAAAGAAGTTGTGGCTAAGGTGAAATTGTTAATAGTTACTTTGAAGAAGAAAACTGCCAGTGTAAAAATAAAAATACATGGTTTGGGATAGAATATTCAGAAAAGCTGAAATACAAAAGTGATTATAATCTTGATTTTATAATAGAGAGATACAGAAAGTCCACAAGACAGCTCAGACTAAGCTGAAACACCTGACCAGAAACGAGGGTAACATTTCTTTGTCCATTATGTGTTTTTAAGTATTATCAAGCAGACCACTAACTAAATAAGGGGGACAAGTAGGTGGGTCAGGCTATGAGTCCAAAATAGTCAAACTTCTGAATAAGTTTTTGAGAATAACATCAAAATAGTTTACCATGTTTAGAGGAAATTATTGGGGAACTCCTAATTAAGAAAGGACAATTACAAGGGTGCCTGGTCAGCTCAGTTGGTAGAGCATACAGCTCTTGATCTCAAGGTCATGAGTTCGAGCCCCACATTGAGGGTAGAGATTACTTTAAAAAAAAAAAAAGGTTTTTGGGGCACCTGGGGCACCTGGCTGGCTCAATCAGTAGAGCATGTGATTCTTAATCATCAGTTTGAGCCCCACATTGGGCGTAGAGATTACTTTAGGGGGAAAAAAAAATATATATATATATATGTATATATACACACATACATATTTTTTTTTTAAGGAAAGAAAGGACAATTACAATAAACTTATCCTTTAACAGTGGGGGGGAGGGGTAAAGGCTGAGGCCTTTATACCTGAGTATAAACTATATATCAAGCTATATCTTAATGTTATAAAATAGATCTTTTATTCTTTGCAGGAAAATTCCTAAGAATATTAACTGATTGAGTCTCCATCTTGGGAATGACAGTAGCAATCAACATAGACAAAAATAAAATATAAAAGAGATTTTTGAAAGATTATATATAAAATACATCTCCCGGGGCGCCTGGGTGGCTCATTTGTTAAGCGTCTGCCTTAGGCTCATATCATGATCCCAGGGTCCTGGGATCGAGCCCCACATTGGGCTCCCTGCTCCGTGGGAACCCTCTCCCACTCCCCCTGCTTGTGTTCCCCTGCTCACTGTGTCTCTCTCTGTCAAATAAATAAAAATCTTTAAAAAAAAATACATCTCCCTTCCCAGATTTGCTCATTAACCTATGAAATGAAATTGTTTGAAAAATTGTCTTATTGTTTTGTGTTTGTAAGTGCATGTGCCCACATAAGCACACACACGTTTTTTTTTTTCCAAAAGCACTGTTTTTATTTATACAGAGTCCTAACCACTTCAGTGGCAGGGCAGGAGTGGGAGAGGTTCCTTTTTCAATCCAGGGGCCTCCATAATGTTGGTCTGTTGCTACCAAACACACAGGCGTCATGGATTTGGTAAACTAACTACAATGTTTAGTCTCTCTCTGCTAGAGCAACAAGGTGACCATCAATCTCTGCTTCTGAAAGAATCCTGAATTTAGGCTTTTCAACTGTAACTACTCCAACTTCTATTTCTGAAGGTTTAAAATCAATTGACAGAACAGTAGATAGGCATGTAATTGCAGTTTCCACTGTCTGTTCAAATGTCCAATCAAATTTTTTCTTCACTTTTTTTTCAAGGAAGCTGGTTGACTCGTTTGTTTAACTCCTACTGCAGTGGCTTTAAACCCACAGTAGTAACCTGCAGGATCACACTTGTACACCTGGGGGCCTTGTTCTTCATCGATACCAATTAAAATCATACAACAACCAAGAGGCCTCATTTCAGCATTCTGTATGTAGACCTGAGAAATATCAGCAATTCTTTTGCACAGCATGTCCACAGGAATCTCATAGCCATACTTGTATTTCCAATTAGCTGCCTCATAGTGTGCCCTCTGTACCTGGGATCTGCTGTCAGCTGTCATTTCCTGTCATCACACAGCCAATGTTTTCAGTTATCTTGAGTAAGTGAGTCACTGTGCTGGAATCCAATAATTTGTCAGGTACTTTCTTCTGTGTGACAATTACTGCACAGTCTTTCCCTCTGACAGCTACCGATGTAAGGCCACCCTGGTTAATAGCCTTAAAAGCATATTCTACTTGGTAGAGCCGGCCCTCGAGTGAAAAAATGGTAATGTGGCTGTCAAAACCAGCGCTGGAACCATGGGACATGTTGGCGCACCCACTACTTCAAGCACTGTCTCTGAGCCCATAGCTCCCACACCAGGCGTACAAATCCCCCCGGAAGTTGCAACCACTCCACACACACACACATTTTTATGAAGAATGAGTTCATAGTTTTCTTCTCAGTGGAATCTGAGACTCAAAAAACCATTACCCTCAGTGGAAGAAAATACATATATATTTAAAATTTTTATTTATTAGAGGGTGAGAGAGCACAAGCACGGGGAGTAGTGGACAGAGAGGGAGAAGCAGGCTCCCCACTGAGCAGGGAGCCCGACGCAGGGGTCGATGCCAGGACCCTTAGATCATGACCTGAGCCGAAGGCAGACATTTAACCAGCTGAGCCACCCAGGCGCCCCAGAAAACATATATTTTAATGACAGATGGGCTTTTTAAAAAGGCATTATTAGGTGGAAATCCACTAAGGATAATTAATGGTTTTTAATTGAAAACAAAACTTTCAAATATGAATATAGAATAGCCAAATAACCAAATATAAAACAAATGAATCAAAGAGCTATGAGCATCTGCTCTGTGTGGAAAGAGACAGCTTGGCCTTGGTATTTGCTTTGCCTTATCTATCAACCAGATACTGTGTCTCTTCTCCTCACATCATAATGCTTATATTAATGCTAATAATTTTTACTAATATAAACAACTTTTTAATTACTTTTAATGCTTTTTAAAACCCAGTATCTAATTTGTTTTTTTTTTAAAGCCTTCACAAAGTTTTTTTTAAAGATTTTATTTATTTATTTGACAGAGAGAGAGAGCGCACAAGCAGGGGGAGCAGCACAGGGAGAGGGAGAAGCAGGCTTCCCACAGAGCAGGGAGCCCGATGCGGGGCCAGATTCCAGTACCCTGGGATCATGACCTGAGCCGAAGGCAGACCCCTAATGACTGAGCCACCCAGGCACCCCCCAGTATCTAATTTGACCATTGTGTTAACTAAAGTAGTATGGAAAGGTACTATTCTTCGAATTTTATAGAAAACTTCAGATCTAGAAGTTGCCGCCTCCCTAATTTTACACACTTAGAAATAGAGCTAGAACCACATCTCAGAATGCCAGCATTATTGGTATATTCCAACTGGTGAAACCATGTCCATCCGTAGACTAAATGGCTGAGGATCTTCAGTAGCAACAACCGATAACATCTGGAATTGTAATGTATCTCATTTAACATCTCAAAAACTTTTTTCATCTATATAAAATCAGCAAGCTAAAGTAGAACAAGTCTAGGATGCTTGTAGTTTTAAATTTTTATGCTGTATTTAGATGCCAAACAGGTATAAGTATTGTTCTCTGTTAAGTCAACTAAAATACTGTCGTTGTTTTCCTTTTTTTTTTTTTAACTTTTTGTTTCGGAAGTCATAGTTTTTCATTTGCATAGTTTTTTTCAATCCCTTCTCTCCCATCTTTTTTTTTTTTACTTTTTTTTTAACATTTTTATATTTATTTGACAGAGAGAAAGACAGCCAGAGAGGGAACACAAGCAGGGGGAGTGGGCAGAGGGAGAAGCAGGCTTCCCGCCGAGCAGGGAGCCCGATGCTGGGCTCGATCCCAGAACCCTGGGATCATGACCTGAGCCGAAGGCAGACAATTAACGACTGAGCCACCCAGGCACCCCTCCCTTCTTTCCTTTCTACCAGCTCTGTAAAACACCTTTCTATATCACTTTCCACTTGGTAACACCTATAAACTATTATCAATACTATTTTCTTTCTTGGGAGTCCTCACTCAGGAGCTCCCACCCTCCCCCCTGCACTGCAATCTGGACTGTATTCTCTTGGATTCCCCCTGCACAATTGCTTCTTTTTCCATTTGGATCTCTTCTTTCTTTTGTTTTTGTTTGTTTTTATTTTTTTTTCAGTAATCTCTACCCCCAACATAGGACTCAAGCTCAATGACCCTAAGACCAAGAGTTGCATACTCTATTGACTGAGCCAGCCAGGCGCCCCTTGTTTTCTTCTTTCTCGATTTACTCCTTCATTTTGGTTGAATACATTCTACCGTAGCTTCCTGAGAAAGAATGAGTAGATTTGGAAATTCTGAAAATGCTGTGTCCTTCATTCACACTTAATTAACTGAATGTAGTATACTAAATTGAACATCATTTTTTTAACTTAGAATTTGGAAGTCATTGCTCAGTCGTCTTCAGACCTCTGGTGTTGATATTGATGGAGCTAATGCTATCCTGACTCCTCTTCATAGGTAGTCTTTTTTGGTTGTTTTATTTTCTTTTCTAGATACTGTTAGATTCATTATCTGAGGTATGGGTCTTTCAAATTTTATTCCTCTTAATTTTTTTTTATCATTTTGTTCCTAATATTTATCACATCCTACTTTGTATGCAATTTCCTCAACTTTATCTTCTAACTGTAATATTAAAATGTTTTTCCACTGTCATATTTATTTTCAAAAAGTGATTTGCATTATATTTCCAAGAAATGGTTTCTTATCTTTTTTTTTTAAAGATTTTATTCATTTATCAGAGAGAGAGAGCACAAGCAGGGGAAATGGCAGGCAGAGGGAGAAGCAGGCTCCCCTGCTGGGGAAGGAGCCCTATATGGGACTCGATCCCAGGACCCTGGGATCATGACCTGAGCTGAAGGCAGACGCTCAACCGACTGAGCCACCCAGGTGTCCCAGTTTCTTATCTTTTTTTTTTTTTAAGATTTGTTTATTTTAGAGAGAGAGAGAGAGCATGCACATGAGTGTGAGCACAGAGGGAAGGGGCAGAAGGAGAAGGAGAGAGAGAATCTCAAGCAGCCTTGCTGCTGAGCATGGAGCCTGACACAGGAC